AAACAATTCCAGTTTTTGTAACAACTTAGATCAAGAAATGGAATCAAATGCAGAAGAGTATTCGAGAAAAACACACCAAACAAACTTAACAGAGCTGTTCAACGATTCAGTGATGAAATGAATGAGGGTAGAGACTGCGTCCAGGGTGGATCGATTTGGCTTGTATGCAAACTGTAACGGACCACTGGGAATGTTTATAGACTGCTGCAGGCGTTTGAGGATAGCCTTTTCAGTCAATTCAGGAGCTGAAGATGTTAATGCTATGGGACGAACACCTTTGAAGGGGATAGAAGACTTGGATGCTTTGGGGATTGGTATGTTTGTGACCGGTCTCCAACAGTGGGGGATAGTAGAATTGTGAAGAGATTCATTTACAATGGAGGTAATTGCCCCAGCTAGGGAAGAGTTAATTGCCCCAGCTAGTGAAGCAGCACCAAATTTGAAGAGGGCTGGATGTAAGTCAATCCGGACCTGCAGCAGAAGACGAATTTGCTACTTTTTAAAAGTTTTAACACGTCACAGTGTGAGAGTGGTTCTACGTTACAAACATTTTGTGATGAGTAAGCAGAAATAATGTTCGATGATTGGGGCAGGAATGCGGCATTGGGATCAACAGCGTTTACATCTACGTTCGACCGTACTTTCTTCCTTCCACAGTGAAGTCTTATACCTTCCCACAGATGTTTGCTTTTTCTAGTCCTCAGAATTTGATCAGAGAATAATGCGTGCAATCTATTTACTTCAGCTTTGATAAACCTGGACAAATACCTACCATCCAGTTCCCTTAACGAATTTCATCACCGCGAGGAAGAACCACATTTCAGTGATAACATGAATTCAGTTATTTCAGGAAATCTCAATCATACGTACAATGACAATCAAGGTTAAACAACAGCAAAGGTTATAGGACAAATGAACACACCAATTGGGCCAATCACAGGACAGGGGCAAAGGTCACACAATCAACCACGACGAGTGAACACATGACGGGGTTCAGTCCTACCAAGGCAGGGCAAGACTGGCCATAAAGTCTAATTGTTTACACAAATTGAATTTAGGCCGTCGAATGGCGGAGGCTTCAGTAAACTTAATTAGACGATGATGTTGTTGTCTATTTATGATTCTAAAGGACTTGATAGGCTCCACACACAAGTTGTAATCTAATCTGTGGCGAGGAAACGAGCTTTGAAAAACTTTATTTTCTTTTCAGGGCTAGATTATTTGGGATGTGCTCAGAAATCCTTACGGACAGCCTTCTCTCAGTTCGTCCAACGTGCTTGCCACCGGAAGTACATTAGAATAGATAAATGCAAGAGGAGGTAACTTGAGGATCCGGCTTGTCCAAACTTGATTCCACGAGCAGACGCTTGGTTTTGTGCAGAATGATTAGTCAGGCTGCATGAAATGTGCTGTGGGTTATTTGTTTTGTTCGTCGCTGGAGACGTCTGTCATTTTCATCTCCTTTGAACGGGATGGTCAGGTAAATTTTCTTTTTGGCGGGCATTGGGTACTTTTGTTTAACAGTTGTGTCTTCCGCGTACCTTGTGATGAACTTCAAGGGGTATCCATTTTCTAGTAGAGTCGACTGACTTGAAAGAAGATTGCTGTCCAAGGAATCTTTTGTACAAATTCGACGACCTCGTGTGAATAAAGTACGAACAAGGGAACGCTTGTAAGTTATGGGACAGTAACTATCGAAGTTCAAATACTGACCGGTCCATGTTGGTTTTTGAAACACGGAGTCGTTCAGTTTACCATCTTCTCTACTCGTTAGGTGTACATCGAGGAATTGAAGAGTGTCTCCTAATCCGAGCTCGATTGTAAACCCAAGATCCTTATGGCAGCTGTTCATGTCCTCCAATAGTTGATTTGCTTGATCGACATTTTCAACAACGACGAATGTGTCATTAACATATCGAGTGTATAGCTGAGTTTTGTGTATGGACTCTTAAAGTTTGGTGGTCTCTAAGTGCCCCAGAAATATATCAGCTAGCACAGGTCCAAGTGGGCTACCCATTGCCACACCATCTGTTTGTCTGTTTAAGTTTCCATTGAAAGAGAACTGTACGTTTTTTGTGCACAATAGAAGCAAAGATTTAAATAGATCTGGTGGAAAGTTCACTATGGCAATGGTCTCTTCGATTGGGACATTAGTAAAAAGAGAACAAACATCATGGGAAACCATGTGTTTAGCGGAGACATTAAGATTCCGAACTCTCTCCACAAATTTCACGGAGTCTTCTAAACTGTAGATTGATAGTTTGTCACGAATGGGTTTGATTAACTTCGATAGCCAACGAGCCAGTTAGTCAAGGTGAGAGAGACGAGAAAACTAAACAAACGAACCTGTCAAGTCTAATGATTTTTCTGATGTGGTTGAGAAGACAAAGGTCAAATGGATAACGTTAGGGAGAGATGGACAGATTAAGACCACGTTTGCGAGAGAATGGGGTGAAGCTACGTAGGATTTAGTGTAGACTGTATGTCATGCACAGCAAGTGTTGTGATTAGGAATGAACAACACAGACAAAAAATATATAGTTACTTCTGAAGATTGTGGAAGCTGATACTGGAGGAGGAAAGGAGGTGTCGAGGGAGGGTTGATGCTCTGTTTTATGCACAAGCAGTCTGCTGTCCCGGCCAAGTAAACAACAGTGATCGGATCAGCTTAGATAACTCTGGATTGGAAACGTGAATCGCAATCGCCTTGGGCGTGGTTAAAAGCCGCCTTCATATCCCATTGTAACATCTCCAGCGTATAGTGTGAATAATTTTAAATTAATTCAATGTCTATACAAAATTTTCGCTGTCGACGATATGATCGATAACCGAGCTGCAAATACATCTAACCGTTCCTTTGTAGACGGCCACAGGAAAGGGCTCAGCAATACGTTTTCATAATCGCCTGGTCGTATGCCCAATGTATCGCTCACTACAAGTGCACGAGATAAAATATAACACGTAGACGTTCGACTGAAGATGTAACTTACCTTTTATTTACTGGGACATCAAGTGCCGAGTGGTAGTAAGGATATGCGATGTAGCTGTAGGGAACTTTCTATAGATCACTTTGGAGAAACGTCGTTTGATACTGGTGGCATTAGTGTACGAGTATCAGAACACACAAATCCAGACAAGAAGTATTTTGACAAAGAAACATATAGACGACAATAAACGTGTGACTTCTAATCAGAGTATAATAATGTTTCGACCGGATAAAGGGGCCGACCGAGTGTTACTCGATAAAACCTATTACCACTCTGAACGAAAGAATATCTTAAGCGATTTCAGAAAATTTTCAACTAGACCATATGAGCAAGACCTGACAGAGCAAGCGGATTCTTTCTTAAGGCTCATCTTGTAG